CAGCATTAGGTGTAAAGGATTGTTTCTGGGCACTGAAGGGTGTGATGTCTTGACTGTGTTAGGAGTTGACGTAGGAAGGGAGCAAGTAGCTCTTCTGTCCATTGCTCTGATTTTGCCTGGGTTATAGGCTTGTCCACTAAATGTAATTGAGGTACAGGGATTATGTTATGTTCCCCTAAACCTCTTGTTCTTCGTACTCAGCCAGCAACTGATATTATAATGCATCATCAGTAGCTCTTGTTATATTATATCCTGTGTTTATTTTTAATTATACAGTGAGCTCTGTTACACTGTTATTAAATAAAGGTATTTCTGGACGTAATTTGCTTGGGAATTACCCAAGCTGCAAATAGCACCTCCCAGCTCTGGCAGACCGTAGGTGTGCAGAAGAAGAGGCGGTCTGCTGGTTGGCCACAGTTCATGTATTGCTCTGAAGTGGCTCGTGACCCCTGTGAGGTGACTTTGGGTTTAGTGGGAGAACTTTGTCCCCCAGAGAAGGCTTTACTTTATTATCCTTGGGTTTCCCCAGAGCCGAGGGCGTTGATGTGCATTGGGGGAAAACAATGCAAGGTGCCAGAAATCGAGCTCTTGATTGTCTGAACTTTCTAAGGTAAAGAGAAAAGACAGTCTCTAGCTCTGAAAGCTGGAGGTCTCCAGGCGCTGTCCTTGCAAATCTTTGTGCACAGAGTCCTGTTAATTCTCCTTGACAGCAGACCTGGCATGTTCAGAGGGAATACTTATTTCCCTGGGTCTAAAGGGATACACTTTACCTGTGGAACAGTGAAATACATATTACACCGGTGTAGCTATGATGGAGGAGCTAGTGGGCGTAAATAGCATGGATTTCTCTCTTTGATTTTGCTGTGAAGGAAAGCAGTCAGGCTGGGTGAAAGCATTTTTTTGCCCTAAGTAGAAAGGAAGAGGAAGATGGAGCCTTCACCCCAAGGTGAAAAAGTACAGGCAGAAAGATGAAATCCCCATTTTCCTCTCCTCTCACCTGAATTGCAGCAGTGTAAAACAAGTCCTGAAAGGAACTCGGTGTGGTTTGATGATTGATTGCCGTGTTGTCTGATGCTGGGCTTTACTTGGGTGCAGTGAAAACCGTAAGCACTGCAGTGTAATTTAGATTTCTGAATTGCTTTGAGCAGCCCCGAAGCATGGTGTTAAATGAAGTTTTCTCTTTCAGGTGTGGACTGGAACTTGGACACCTCACATGAACAGTGTGCATATGAACCAACTTGGCTGAGTGGGATCAACTTGCTAGCCTTGAGATTCCTTTTTTGCAGAGGAAAACACAAATGGCAGAAACAGTTTATGTGCTCCCAGATCATTCTACTGATGTGCTTGACTGAAGTGTGTAGGCTTTTTGCAGAAGAACTTACTAACTGACCTTTTTCTGTGAACATTGTGACCGCCCATTCCCCACCATCATACGTTTCAACTTAGTTAGCCTTTATTCTTTTCTTTCCTTTTTTTTTTTTTTTGACATAACTTTCTGTTGAAGCTGTTCTTTGGCTGGTTGGTTTTAGTACTGTAAACTGCTTCTGAGCAAACACAGAAAATTAGCGAAATTATGTAAACTTGATCCTGAAGTTTTAGAATGGCAAATAAATGTACAATTGTTTACATAACAAATGGCTAAGCAGAAAGTAAATTTCAATATGTCAGTATAGAGGCTCTACTTTATGTAGACTTAAATTAATGTGAGATATGTACCTTCATATTCGTTTTCAATTAGGTAGCCTTTTTTTTTTTTTTTTCTTTTTTTTTTTTTTTGGACATAACTTTCTGTTGAAGCTGTTCTTTGGCTGGTTGGTTTTAGTACTGTAAACTGCTTCTGAGCAAACACAGAAAATTAGCGAAATTATGTAAACTTGATCCTGAAGTTTTAGAATGGCAAATAAATGTACAATTGTTTACATAACAAATGGCTAAGCAGAAAGTAAATTTCAATATGTCAGTATAGAGGCTCTACTTTATGTAGACTTAAATTAATGTGAGATATGTACCTTCATATTCAGAAATCTGGATGTTTCCTTCATACATTAAACTATTAATAAGCATAACTTTTCTACTTGTGTAATTTAAGTACATTATAAAAAAAGGGCATTATCAGAGGGCTTTTTCCAAATGCGTGTCGGATTTTTTTTGAGAAGGCATACATCAGTTGTAACCAGATATTAAGAGTTTCTATTTTTCTTCCGTGAAAGGCTTTTCAGCAAAAAGCGCCTGAGAAAACAGCCTTTTGGCACATGAAGAGTCATCTCCACGCTGAACTCCCCTACTTGCCCAGTAAACGGGGTAAATGTATCACGCTGCAGCATCTATTAAAAATTATTCTTACAGCTGGGGTTGATGCAGCAAGGTCTGTTGTGTTCCACAAGTGCTCCCAGAGCTTCTGTTCCTCTGGTTCCTTCCTTTGCCTGCAAAAGTAATTTCAGAACGTAGATCCTCGGTGTGCGTCAGCTCAAGAATGAGACTCTCAACTTGCAGTTTTTAGCAGAGCTTAACTGATGAAAACCGTCTCCACAGGAAGGCTTACTTCAGAATAAGTGGCTTTGTTCTAGTAGATGGTGTCTTGCTCCACAGTGGGTCACTGCCCCGTGAAGGTTTATTTGGAAAAGCCTAAGTGAGAATTTCCTTACAGTCGTTGTCAGGAGCTGTCACCTTCTTCACTTAGAGGTGCTTGGAGTGAAGAGCAGTACCGGGAGGCGAAGCCTCGGGCAGGGGTCCTGTGAGGCAAGACTTGGTCAGCAGTGACACACAGCTCTAGTCGGGATGCCCGTACAGTTTGTGTCCCTGTGGTTTATGGTAGATCTACAAGTCGAATGTATGCTTGTGCAGGACAAGTGAGGGCCAGCGTCTTCTACGGCCGATTATTCTGCATGGAGGAAGGCTGAAGGAAAGCTTGTTTTTTCCTTGCTGTGTCACTTGGAGTCAACCCTTTTTATTGTTAAGTTGTTATCCTGAGAGCTCCGATCTGGGGAAGCTCCTGGATGAGTTAAACGGGCTGCTGTTAAGGCTGGAATGGAAGAAGTGCTATTTTGTATTTGTTACATATGCCTGTGAAAGCCAGAAGAAAAAACAACTGGTCCAAAGAAACCTACTGCCTTTTACATAGTGTGATATTTCTGAGGTGTCCGGAAGGTTTGTGCACACCGCTGTCCATACACATGCCTTCAGGTGATGCTCTAAATACAAGTAAGCTTCTTTTTCCAGCTGTCTGATACAGCTGGTCTCCGTTACCTGAAATACATTCTGTGAAGAGCTGCTTGTAACAGAAGGGATACGTAACTGACCAACTGCTCAGAGCAGTGATGGAAACACTTTATCAGCCCCTTAGCGTGAGTGAGGAATAGTGCCCTTCCGCCCTTCTGCAAGGCCTTGAGCCCTTTCCTAGAATTTTTTGCTGAATGCTGCAGTGCTATTCAGCATTATTTGCATTCTTATTCTGAAATAATCCTACTGCCAAATGGTGCTCAGTATTGGTTCCAACCATGAATCCCGTGGGTCAAAAGAACAGTTTCTTTCCTGCATTTTGTTGACTGGAAGCATCAAACTGTGGCCAGGGGATGGCGGGCTCCATGCTGCCTGCGTTGTGTCAGGCTTGATAAAGGAAACCCAGGGCGGGGGTTTGCAACTCCCCACAAGGAAGGCTTTTTTTTTTTTCCCCTCAGACACTTTTTTTGTTTATTAGTTCAAATGTAATGCTTTTTATTTGACCAATAAAAAAAGGAACGTACGCTCTTGAGACCGGGCAGGTCTTCTTTCATTGAGAAAAAGGAACAGAACGGGTACTGCGGCTGCGGAGGAGCCTGAAGGCGGAGGGAGCAGGGTGGGGCGGTCCCCTGCGCCGGGTGGGCTCAGG